TCTTTCTATCTACAGATTGAAGCTCGTAGCTTTGTCGAAATCAATTAATCAACCTGTCAATTAGTCATACATCCTAGAATATAACGTTTGAATACACGTTAAGGAAATCATCAATTTGTATTGTAAATATGTGATCGCTCTTCTATAAACACAGACGCCGGCTAGCTCTAAAAGTATTTATTAACTAAACACAAAGACAATATACACCAAAACTGAAGATACACCAAGAAGGATCAAATAATATCTAATTATTAATATTAGTTAGAATTACGGAGACATAATGATGAAGAATATATCACTCATAGCAGCTGCAGGTCGACTGACTGTAAGTTATTCTCGTCGTCACTAGATGGCGTTCGGTTGCTACGAAATAGGTCTGTTGCATCTCTGCTTTTTTAAATTAATGTGTTTAATTATATTATTAAATTATTACGTCATATTAAGAGACAATTTTTCTACGTACCATGAATCAGTGCTAAGTACAGGAATAAAAGTAATTAATGTGACCTGCATATATGGAAACGGACATGTTGTTACGAGTTGCGGGTTATTCAAATAATTACTTCAGATGAGCAGGAAAAATTGACAATTAATTGCAAAACTCGCAGTAAAAAATATAAAATAACTATATAAATAAATAACAAACTATGTAAACATAAAAACTCTATAAACAATAACTGTATAAATAACCTAAGGAGAATGCAGAGCCAAAGCAGATTGTTTTTTAACGCACGAGAAATATCGCATTTACCGATAACATTTACAGAATAAGCTCAGATAGCACTTTCAATTGCACCTAGAATTATACTGAGTCCTATGTCTGAAACACGGCCACTTATACTTGTTTTCTAAGCCTTCTATAAGCTTCGTCGAAAATCTCTCCTAACGTTTGAAAATGCGTTTTCCGAAAACTTCCAAAAAGTGGCCATATGTCACCAACTTAGTGAAAACATTATGGCTAAGGTCTATCAGGAGTGTTTGTGTCTTTATCTGAGTTATTTGTACAATTTATATGTCGATAAATTCAAATTAACAAGTACAGTTCTGTACAGTTAATAAGCACCTTCAAATGAAATATAAAGCCAAAAATTCATTAGCACAAAAAGTGCGCTCTAAATTTATTGCATTGAATACAATAAATAAATAAAAATATATCATTATAACAGTACATAAAACCAAGAAGGAAATCAAATGGACTCACATATTTACAGAAATGTACAACAATTCGAATTATATTGGAGAAAAATTTTGAGCATGTCTATCCATTGGTATATTTCACAGAACTTATAAATGTTAAAGTTGACAAATACAGGGTGTCTAAATAAATCAGTCTTTTTTTAACAAGCAATTGAAGTTAAGAAAAGTATCTACTTATCTCAAAATAGTGTTATTTATTTATTGGACTCCATGAAGAGATTATCAGTATCTTATAGAATTATAGTTATTTCCTGGATTCCAACAGCTGGTGTGTTATTTTCTGAAGTACATCACTAATATTATTTCGAAGTTCGTCTACATCACAAACACTTCAATCAGTGTACACTTCATACGTAATTTTGAAACTGTTCCTGATTTTCTTTTTCTTCATGCATTTTATCTTTCACATTTATCTACGTTCATTAACAATGGTATGAATTTGAAAAGGAAAGTGCATACCTGAAACAAAATTTGAAATAAAATAACAATTATTTTAATTCGAAATGCATATATTTGTTCTAGTATAAGTTTAAATTAAAATTTCATCGTAAAGAATTTCAGTTTCTTGATTTACAATTGCTAAACTATGATTTCGAATCAATTAAACCACGATTCAGAAAAATATTCTTAAAGACGTCATTCTGGAGGCTTTCATGCATAATAATTAATTTTTGAAATTTGAGGGTGCATTTATAGGTGAAACGTTAGGTCTGTAAAACAAAGAAGGACTTTAAAATATGATGTTTCAATATTTTAGTAAACTGCTTGTTTCTTGTGCTAGAATGCATTTTGATTTCTTATACACAGTATGATTTTTTTATTTACAGTGTGAGTATTTAAAGTACTGAAATGAGTTCGTTTTAACAACTTCAGTGAAAAAAAAATCCTCTTTTACTCAGTTATTAGTCCAAAGGGATTTGAATCCCGAAGGACTATTAGTTTCGTTTTGGCATTTTGCTTCGGACGGATAAATGTCGGTTCACTTTTCAAACTGTTGCCATAAAATGTTAGAGTCCTGCATTATATTTGAAGAAATTAAATAATGAAAATCTGCGTAAATGTATGTATATTTCTCACATTGTCATAAAATAACGGTACATAGAGTCATCGAATTTTGAATAACGTAATCCTCCAACGAATATGAGCATGTGGAAGACCAAATTTTGAAATTTGTTTTATGATCGATTTTCCTATTTTTTAAAACTTTGACGAATTTTTGATTAACAAACTCAAGGATTTCAAAGCGAGCAATGGCAAACGTTGTGCAGAAAAAACATTTTTATCTCCAGCGCGTGAGTCTCTGTATCGGAAATTCTAAAGATATGCTCGTTTTAAACTATTTTGCGATATTGCTGTTGCACTGGATCTTATGGTTAAGTGCGAGGAACATGATATTTAATAAAGAAGGTAACACACAAAATGTTAAAAAACGCCCCTTTGGACGTAATTTAAAATTTGACACATTTCAGATTTTTTTTTTTATAATTATTTATATTTTATCCTTTTACTCTGATATTAAAATTAGAAAATGATTGGAAAGGACCGCTTATAGTGAACGAAATTAATTTCTGTGACATATGTGTATTTAATGCGAATATGACATCTAAATTTACCCTGATAACTAAAATTATATTTCTTATATAATCAAATATTTACTATCTAATTTTCTGGATTATTCTGTTGGTTAACTATTAATTTAAATTGTTAATACGACTGATTATTGTTTCTTCGTTAATTAAGGATTTTACTTATTTTGAATGCCTTTCATTTCTGGTAAATGACTTAGGAACTAAAAATGATATAATGTTATACCTAAATGAGTCAGAGAAAGTACTGAATACTGGTAGTTCGGTCCGAAGTTCGAATCCCGCGAACGGGCTGGCTGCATGAGCGTTTTCGTGGTTTTCCCCATGTGTAACGTGTATACGAGCCAGTTTCCCTTAGAAAGTCCTCCACGAAGGCATCCCTCCCTTTAGGCAGATAGCCCTCGTGTGCTTTGCCGTAATTAAATAATCCAATCCAATCCTACTCAATAATGTTTTGTAGGTATCAGCAGATTTCTCGGATTTGGTTCTATGCGATGGCTGTAAAATATATTCAATTCGTTATCAGAAAATTAAATTTTTCAATATTTAGCATTTATTTTATTATTGCAAGAAGAAGATTCCATTAAAATGAAAGTGGTGCGAAGATTTACTGCTGATTTTCATAAAAGCATAATATTTATTTGTCGTATTTAAAAATACTCAGATTTATGCTAGCTTTTTCAAAGCCTGTATGGTTATTTAAACTAGTTTTACACTATTTTTATGAATTAGTAGAATCCAGTTATTCTTGCCGCTTAATTATATTCATTTTTTCTCAACGGAAATCATGCCTATTGTTAGAAATTTTGAAAAATCTGTTCAATATGAAAATTCCGAAAACTGTATTGAAGTTCAGTTTCTCTTATGAATAGAATGTCTTTATGTCAATATTTATGAAAAATATATATTGAAGTTAAAATATTGCAAAACCTTACCTTGAAACCTCTCACGAAACTATTAGTATAATTTTAAAAGATAAAATACCAAATTACTACTCCAGTTATTGAAATAATTTTATGTCTACGCTTTCTTCTATAATTAAAATTAAGGTACCTTCGCGCTACTTCCATTTGTCAGACGCAGCTCAAAATTGCAAGCCTAGACGATTTTCGTATACAAGAAGCCACTTAAGAAGATTAAGTTCAAGATTTCGCGTCACATCCTTTCTCTGTGATATATGGCTGGAAAAAATTGAATTCTTTTTCATGCAACTTACTCAAAAATACATTTTTCAGAAAGGTATCCTCTCTATAAATTCTTATGTACTAAATTTAAAAACGAAAAATAAACTTCATACTTCTTGAATAAAAAGGAGATTGGAGCAAGCTAGCTGTGATAAAAGTATAGTATTTTATCGGCATGTAAACTAATGCATAACGTAATCTTTAAATTTTCGTGCCTAAAAATGCATCTAAAATCTCCGGAGTTTAAAGGTAAAAGAGAACTTCAACAAGCAAAAGAATTTTGATGTAATTCGACCAGACCTTAAATTTTTGGAGCATGCAATAAATTGGCAGAACATTCTAGCTACTGAACTGCTTTCCTGATAAGATGTTCTAAATTCTTCCATTCACTGCAAACGGAGCACGGGCTTGCTGGGAATATCAGCTCGTGGTTTTTTGAATGAGCAGTTTTAAGGTCGAAGACTACATCTCCTAGCCACCTGGCTCTTCTTCCCTTCCAGTGAATGCCATAATTTATCTGATTTTTGTCAAAAGAGACAACTTAAAGTCATTATGGGATGCAGAACGGGAAAAAAGACGCAAAACATATAAAGAATACACTTAATGTGCTATTATAGTTACATGCATGGTGCCAGATATGTTAGTTGAGATTCATTAGGATGCGTGATAAAATTTCCTGTGTATCTACAAATAGTTTTAATATAATTTGGAAAATATGTGGAATATTTCGTTAATAAAGTTAAGAATTGTTAATTTCAATCACGCATCTAGAAGTTTCGGGCAATTTGCATTTTCAGGCACTCTGTAATCACAGCTCATGCAGTTGTGAACTGAATTCGAGCAGCTAGTCAGCAGAACACTAACTAATAATATTGTTCGTTACTTAATAGAAAGCCTTCCCTTATCATAAATTGACTTACTATAACGGATTGGACGTCATACAGTTTTCTGCTTAATACTATAGTTTTTAAATGCTAAGTATTAATAATCTAATAAATATTAATGTTAATATCCTGTTTCTATTTTCCTCCAGACTCCACCATCACCGCAGAAACCTCAAAAATCTACATCCCCGAAGAAGAAAAATGGTATGCTGTCTCCTGTCAAAGTACCCAAGACTCCAGGATCAGACACAAGGAGTAAGCCTTCACATTTTCTGATTTCTATATCAGTTGCAACAATTACTTTTAAGAAAAAGAAGAAAACGTCAATTCCGAATGAGGGCAGAAAAGAAATCAATAATTTTACTGATAATTTGCTTATAAGAATTTGTGCAAGCAGTCGATAAGAACTCACGAAAGTACGAGTATATTAGTTGAAATATTTAACTTACGCAATTAATTTTATTTTCATTAGACTGTTCAACCCTCCATACAACTGAAAATACCTCTCCCTTGAATCTTGATGATCTCCGAATACTGACGCAAAATATGTACTTGTAATTCTGAACTGCCTTAAAACACAATTGTAATTCTGAACTGCCTTAAAACATCGTAGCTGTAATCTTTCCTTACGATATGCTACGTTAACAGTTTTAACACGTTTCAAAGTGCATGTACGTGCACTTTACATGCTTTACGGTATGAGAAACATATTGTTGAACGTGCGTCTGTAATATGTGGTTTGAACATTTTGAAGACTAAGAGCAGTCATTAATTCTTTTATTGAGAGTTCTATATAAAAATTGAATTTCTTTCTGGGTATTAAAATATTTTCAAGTTTCTGTACGGCAGATGCTGAAGCAAACCTAATCAAATGTACTTCATTTTCGAAACATGCGATGGAAGAATTTTCTCGCCTATTTTACTTGTACTGAAAGACATTTTAGAGAAAGTCAATAGACAGGCTCTTCGCGACGCTGACGTTATAAGGTATTTCTCCCTCCTTCTTAGCGTGCCTTAGTGGTGTAGTGGTCTGCACGCTCGGCGCGTATTCGTGAGATCCGAGGTTCGAGTGCCGGTGAGGGCATTGCTCATATTTCAAGTTATCTGCTTCAAAATAAACCTAATGTCTCTACAGTGGCGCCCGAACTTAAAAAGGTGGTGGATGATGATTCTCTACCACCAGGATATGGCGATTCGGTCCCCGAATCCCCAGTTACCCATAAAAGGGTAAGTATATAAGGTACTTCTCCCGCCTTCTTAGCATGTCTTCGTGGTGCAGTGGTCAGCACGCTCGGCGCGTATTCGAGGTTCGAGTCCTCGGAACTTGAATACCTTCGTATGTACCTCGGACCTTCGTATGTCCGTGGTTCGAGTCCTCGGACATCTCGAATACCCTCGGACATTGCTCAGTTTTCAAGTTTCCTGCTTCAAAATAAACCTAATGTCTCTACAACGTCACTTACAAAAAGTGAAGAAACGAAGACACAAAGGAAGTAGTTGCATTTTAGCAGACTAGAAATCAATGATATCAAACCTTGTAAAACTTTTTAATAAACGAGGGCTATTCAGAAAGTAAGGAAATTTTCCGTCTGATGTCGCTAGGCGCTCGCCGATCACGTATATTTTGGTATCTGTGTACTCGGCATCTCCGTCGGCGTCCAGCCATCCCAACGGGAACATTTCCACGCTGCCCGTTTTTTTTTCGATATTCAATAAAATGTAAGCTGCAATTGAAAATCCCGCCAGTTGTGAGGTGCGATCTGTGATACAGTCTTTGTTATCAAAAAAACCTAAAACCTATGGAAATTTATCGGCAAGTGTGTGAAGTGTACGTAAACAACGTAATGAATGAAAGTTCAATGAAATGGTGCATTCAGTTTAAAAATGGCCGAACTAACGTGCACGATGAAGAGAACAGTGGACGTCCTAGAATTGTGACTGACGAACTGGTCGCTAAAGTTGATGAAAAGATTCGTGAAAACCGCCGTTTCACAATAACGGAGCTTTCGATTAGTTTTCCACAAGTTTCACGGACTTTGTTGTTTGAAATTGTCACACAAAAGCTAGGCTGCTGCAAATTTTGTGCCAGATGGGTGCCGAAATTGCTTACAGACCACCATAAATGTCAGCGAATGGGGGCAGCTTTGACATTTCTGGAGGCCTACAACAGACATGGTGATTCATTATTGGATCGAATCGTAACTAGTGACGAGACGTAAGTGAGACACGTGAATTGCGAGACAAAATTACAGTTCATGCAGTGGGGGCACACAAGTTCCCCCCAAAAGACCAAGAAAATGTTTCCAAAACTTGTCACCAAAGAAGATTATGGCGACTGTGTTTTGGGATAGGCAAGGTGTACTTCTGATTGATTTTCTCGAACGTAGTGCCACAATAAACTCTGAGCGATACTGTCAAACTTTGCGCAACCGTAGGAGAGCAGTTCAAAACAAGCGCCGAGGAAAGTTGACGTCCAAAGTTTTGTTTTTGAACGACAATGGTCGACCTCACACGGCAAACCGCACTCAAGAACTCCTTAATTCATTCAAATGGGAGGTTTTCCCTCATCCGCCCTATACTCCCGATCTTGCACCTAGTGATTTTCACTTGTTTCCAAGAATGAAGAACTGGCTAGCGGATTTGTAACGAAAACCGCCAGAGCATCGTTTCAGAAGCACTAGATTAAATTATTAGTTTATACTGTCGATCCATTATGGTGATTGTATTGCCCCAAATTCAGTTCTGAGCAGAATTTTAGCGTCACCGTAGACATACTGTTCTGTAGCATTTCTGTTGATTTTTAGCGCCTTTTTGGGGGATTTTAAAATAGTCTCTAACATAGTTTTTAACCTTATAACTCTGCATGGAATGAGAGATTTAGAAAACTAAAAACTCCAGGTATTTATCCGAAATGTATTGAAAATGGCTTAAAGAAATACTAGATTAATTTGCACAAGTCCAAAAATACGAAACTTCAGTTTTATTTTAACTTAAAAAAATTATTTTTTTTAATATGAAACTCGTGTTATCGATTATTGACAAAAATTATTGTTTACTAAAATACAGTTTGCTTTGTACGTGTGGAAAACTTTGCACGCAAACCTTAATCTAACACGAAAACTTTAAAACGTAAAAGAAAATTCTTCCTACGCATTTCGGTCAAAGACTAACATTGTGGAATGAAGCTTGAGACAAATTCCAGTTTCATACGTCATCTTCAATAGCAATTGTCTGACATTTTAAGCAGAGATGCGGTAACAACCTTCTTTTTTTTTATATTACTCAGCATTGAAGAATACGGATATCAAACGATAAATCAAGAAAGAATACTTTTAAATTACAAAATATTTTTATGGGTTCATGAGATAAATACTTTTTTCGAATGGCGGTTTCTAACAGTTTATAGGCGATAGCCACTTCTAAGGTCGAAAGCGTTGGTCACTTTATTATTGAGGCACCTAATAGTTGACTACCATTGTATCCTATGAAGCTACACACAAATTACATTCATGCATTCTCCGGTATTCGAGCCCGGGTCCTTCGGTACAGCAGTCAGAGTCACTAACCACTTTTCCGTCTGGGAGGTTATGACAAATATACAAAATTAAAAACGTAACTTAAAGAATCCTTTATGCCGAATTTGTCTTATATAATCCATGTAACTACTAATCCTTGTAAAACTACATCCAAATGCATTTATAACTACTTTTATCACTTATAATATAGCATTTTCGAGCCAAAATTTAGGATAATTCAGTGAATCAAATTTTTACAAATTAGGCTAATTTTAATTTTTCGATCTAACATAGATACAACGAGAAAAAATTTCTTCAAGTTTCCAGTAAATGTTTCTTAATTTACATGAATTCACATTTCTGTCAGTTTTATTGGCCAGTGCAGAATTTAACAATTTAATTTTCTACCCCATAGTGTATGTAAGTAAATATATGTAGATCCAAATAAGAAAACCCTTCGATTAATGGTGGAGTATCTGATAGCTCATTCTTGATTCTATTCCCTATGTTTTGAATTGCTGACTTGAGAGAATTTCTGCAATTTAATTTACTCTGTGAGCAAAAACATAAATCTCAGTCAGTTTCTCTTACAGAGTTCTCTAACATTAAGGAAACACTGTCGTTTCCTAAAACACATACCCTCTTGCACTAAACAATAATTTGTTAAGCTACCAGTCAATCAAAAAAGGCAAATAAAAATGTTAGACATAAAACAGCTCCAAATGCCAGATGTCTATTTTCATAGCTTTGAAAGAACAAAGCAACGGAAATTACCATGTGCAGAGTCAGAGGGAGTCTTGGATGTCGTATGTGTCACCAATAGCATCATCAATACCGAGCAAATGAGTCCACAATGTATGAAAATTTTATAATAATCAATGTTTTTCCTATTTTGTAAAAAGGTGAACGAGTAATTACCTCTGCGGAAGAAATTGTATACACCATTAGTGAATATTGTGGTACCGTTTCTAATATCCATATTTACACCACGCTATTTTTTTCTGTTACGAAGTATTTAAAGAGAATGCCAGAATGCCCATTACTTTCAACTCTCTCAAAGCGGAGTCTTAGGATGGTAATTTTACAGTGTTCGAGCTTAAGTGTTCTTAGTCTCAAACGTACAAATCTAATTCAAAAACTGGTATAGTAATGAAATGATACAACATCTAACCTGCACAATAGATGTCTTTACATATTACTTGAAATGATTATAAACTGCTGCTCTACATATTACGGAGGAAGAAAGTGCAAAAATGTAACATTATATCGCCTATACAGAAATATATTCCAAAAAACAGAAAATAGTTATGTATTAATATGCAGGATAGTTATGTATTAATCGTTTTATTTTTTTTAAGCTTAAGTTGTTTTGCTTATTTCAGTTTTGATTCGTAATTGAAGTTATAATTTTTTTTTCCCTTTCTAAGTGGGAACTTAGGGCTTTTAGGCTTAGTTTTGACTTACTGGTTGTCATTTCTTATTTTTACGTGTTGCTGTGGTTTTGGGTTATTTCACTTTTGCCTACTTTTGTGTCTATTTGGGTAGGTTAGTTGAACAACTTAGGAGCAACTTTGTGTTTTATTTTGCAGTTTAGTTGATTTTATTTTGGAAGACGACTATATTTCGTTCTTGGTATTGGATTCATTGATCTTTGTAGTTTCGTCGGGTTCACCGTTTTGGTTCGGTGAGGTTAGTTGTGTACTAAAGTATACTAGTTGAATTCTTGTGTGTGTTTGTTTT